CACACACACACACACACACACACACACACACACACACACACACACACACCCACGATTGTTTTATCACTGAAATATTGTTTAAGCTATACTTACTTTTCTTGACTAACTGCTTTTCCTTTGTTTCTGCATTCTCACTTCCCTCTTTGCTTTTTGGAACTCAGGGAAGGTCTAGGAGACTAAAGCCTTTTTCTACAAACAAGAAATTGGAGACATGGAGGGGCTTTTGCACCTGGGAGGACCCCTAAGGGTCCTGCTGGGTCTCAGCACCCCCTTTTCTTTGATACTCCTCAGTCCTAAAGGGAGCAGGGGTGGGATAAGAAAGGGAATAAAGTTTTGGATAGAGAGGTTAATTATGAAAGTCATCTGAGGAACTCAGATTTAGGGGGACTTGGTTTTGGAAACTCCTTGAGGGTAAATCAGATGTGTTTATGAAAATATGAAAAAAATAAGACTCAGAACTCAAGCTGACTTGTCCACAAAGAGACTTCAATGAAGCAAAAAAGCCCATCTTGATCTTAAATCAAATGTGTATTAATTTGTATGTTTTAAATTGGATAAAATATTAAGGTTATATGTGTATGTATTTTACAAATCATCTTATTGACTAGTTTTTAAAAAGTTAACTCACCAACTGCTAGGTCTTTTCTTGTTAGGCAAGAGGACTTTTATCTTACACTGATAAAATGAAATAGTATGTAGTCTTTAAATATTCTGTTTTGGAATTATATAATCATAGAATGGGTAGTATCATTCCATTTTTGTAAAAACATGTTTAGAACAAGAATATATGGCAAATGTGAATGGTGGGTAGTGGGATTATGGCTGATTCCTATGCTCTTTATTTCTTAGTTTTTATAATTGTGCTATAATTTTGTTTTACTTTCATAATAAGATAAGTCAATAAATTTCATAATAAAATTAATAAAAGTCATTTCTTAAAAAAAGTTAATGTGTGTTTTCCTAATTTTTAAGCATAAGTGGGACTAAATCTTTGCTCCAAGGGATACTGACTCTTTGAACTTAAATGTTTTGGGTATTAACTAATTCTTCAGTATTCTAGGAAGTGGTGCTGAATAGTTTAAAGCTGTATTTCTAATCCTGTGAAAAACATCTTTGAATAGGGAAGAACTGTTGTTCTAGAATGTTCTTAAAGCACTCTCTGAATACACGGCTTTTCAAACAATTTATACGCTGCCTAAAGGTATGGTCTAAATCAGGGGTCCCCAAACTTTTTGGCGTCCGGGACAGGTTTCATGGAAGACAGTTTTTCCACAGACAAAGAAGGGGGTGAGGGAGATGGTTTTGGGATGATTCAAGCACACTACGTTTATTGTACACTGATTTCTTTCTTTTATTAGTGCATCAACTCCACCTCAAATCATCAGGCATTAGATCCCAGAGTTTGGGGATCCCTGGTCTAAATCTTTGGTCCGCTTTTAAATCCTATTATGTCAAACTTCAGTCTACTTTTCTTGTTCTAATGCCACTTAAATTCTTAAGTGAAAATGTAGCTCCAGCTGAACTTGTCCATTTACCATCTCCAAAGGTACCTCATGCTTTCTTGCTTTTGTACTTTTACCTCTGTGATACTTGGAATATCTCTTCCTGACAATTGTGTCAGCAAATTCTTTGTGGTTCCCAGTGTCCATTTATAAAACCATATCCACTGTGACATCCTGGTTCCTACAGCTAAAACTGAATTTTGCTTCTAAACCTATTTGCACGTATTATTTGTGCCTAGACATTTCTCAGATACCACCTCATATTTTTATGTTTATTTCCTAGTTCCATTTAAACTTATTGAGAGCAAGAACGCTTGTTTTACATTTCTTTCTATCCCTTCATGCTCCTAGCATGGATGGACCTTTGCCCAGGGTAGGAGCTAAATGTTTATTTCTTGATCAGACAGTGGTGTCAGGTGTTGAGTCCAATTGTTGGAATTTTTTGTCAACCAGTGATCCTGAATAAGGGGGGTCAACACTTAGCTCACAACAATATGGAGGAATAAAAAATAGATAATTTGGCTGAATTGTCAATTGATATAGATAGCCGATAAGGAATTGACAGTATTTTTTTAAAAACTAAAACTAACACAAGAGCCAAGTGTTGGCGTGGGTAGTACAAGACCCAAACTTACATTTCACATAAATATTTCTTCAAGAAGTTTCTCCTGAAGTTCATTTTGGGTTTGATGGCCTCTTTGTTCTCAACCCTACCAGAGGCACAGGTGTGCCTTGCGTTCTTACAGCTACTGTTCCCAGAACCCAGAGATCTGAAGTGTTTGACGGTGGGGTCAGTGAACCATCAGAGTTGCTCTGTTCCAGAACATCTTAAGAGGTCATGTGGGATTCAGTGAGTCATAGTATGTAAAGTGCTTTGTGTTCAAAAGTTAATTATTTTTCTTCTGTTATTGGAAACATAATTGTGTCACTTTTCAAACTTAAATTGTGATTTGAGGGTGTTTATTTGGTTAACGGTAGACACTTAAGAGGGCTTATCTTTTTTTTTTTTGTTTGTTAAACAGTTTTATTTTGATTTATAGATGTTTGCCAGGACTAAATATAGCTGATGAAATATCTGATCTTTTCTGCTCAAGGTAAATGATATGTTACTTTATAAAAACACCGGGTACCGATAGAATTCAGAGTTTGTATAAAAAGAGCCATTTGGTCATTTAACATCATCCCAGGCTCCAAAGAAATGGTACCTTTAAGGATTTTGTTACTATATGAAAAATGACACGTTATCGGTTCAACCTATATCAGAATTGTCTTGGAACGTTTTAAATGTGTGTAATATGCATGTGCCTGCTTCCTACCAGGGGATTTTGGTTCCATGTTTTTGGGGTCCTAGCATGTGAATTTTTCAAAATGCCAATGGGTGCTTTTGGTTTATTGTAGGTCTGTTTCATTGTGGCATATATATGGCACTAGAGATGATGGAAATGGCAGGTAATAATGCCTTGGGAGTTACCATAAGGGTTAAAGATTAAAAAAACTTAAATTTTGCGCGCATGTGTGTGAGATGGTAGACTCATACTTTCATTTTGCCTTTTATTCAATGAATGTTTTGATTATATTTTAAATAAAGCACTAAAAAGTTTATTTAACTATTTTCAGAGTTTAGGTTTAAACTCTAGAGTTATCTCAGCCTGAAAATTGCCATATCTGTGAATGCAACTTAAAATTTCTTTCATTTTGTTGCTTCAGGTTAATAAGTAAATTAAAAGAAGAAAGATAAAATTTTAAGTAAATAATTTCTTTAATATTCTTTATTTCAGAGGCTGATTTAATTGATTTATTTTCCTTATAAGTGAGAAGTCAGACACTGTCAAAGTTTCTCATAATAAAAAGTAATGGGTAAGTGAATGTTATAATAGAATTTTGATTTAATGAAGTTTTGTTATTCTCATTGGGTTTAAGGTTGTGATTTCAATGTTTGAACACTGATTTTAGTGAATAAACTTTTTCTGTTGCAGACAGTCTTATCAGAAATACTCAATATTACAGGATTGTTCTCTATATTTTTTGACAGTTAAAAGTGTTTAAAATAATTAGAATTAAAATCTTAATGAAATTCTTAAAAATCCTATTTTCACTGTCACAAAACAGCAAAAAGCTACATTGTATTGGATTTATTACTTAAATTTGTTACATTTTGTATAAATGAGTATGTAAGGAAATTTTAAAAATTCTAAATTCTAAGCTTTATTCTCAGATTTACTAAATCAGAATTTTGGAGGATGATTTTTATATTCAGCCTGGCTTGGAAATCACTATATTATGAACTGTTGAAGGATTATAGTTTTGGGCTTGAGGGTTGAAACTTGGAAGCTATTCTTTATTTGTTTAATAAATAAACTGTTCCTATTTAACAAATAAACTATTTCTTTGTCTCTTATTGTTTCTCATTAAGAGAAATTTTTGTTGGATTTCCACTAGTTGGAAAAAAATCTTCATGATTCATTATGTAATTGTCAGAAGAGAAATATCTTTTGCTTCAGAGGCTATATTGGTTGCTATTTTGTTTTTTTAGCAACTTCGTTGGATAAATTGCTTTAAAATCTGCCTCTTTGTGGATTAAGCAGAAAATAAATGTGGCATCTTTACTCTCATGATAGAGAATAAGATGTTATATATGACACCCAGTGTTCACATGATCTGGGATTTTGTGTAGAAACATGATGGAAAAATTAATGAATTTCATTAGAGTATAGTAAGTATACTATAGTAACAATTTAGGAATAGTAATTTGTCTTTATAAATTGAGTACTGTATTCAGTAGTGAACAACTTCCTGATAATTCTTAACAACTAACCAGGAAATCAGTAAAAATGTAATCATCTAGGCTTCAAATATTGGCAAGACACTGTTCTTTTAGAAGATTGCTTAGGTCTCAGTGAAAGGCAAATACTGTATGATATCATATATATCCACATATATGAGGAATCTAAAAAATAAACTAGTGAATATAGCAGAAAAGAAACAGACTAGCAGATACAGAGAAGAAACTAGTGGTTACCAGGGTGGAAAGGGAAGAAAAGAGGGGCAAGATAAATGCAGAGAATTAAGAGATACAAAGAATTATGTATACAATAGATAAGCTACATGGATATGTAGTACAACACACACAGTATAGCCAATATTTTATAATAACTATGAATGGAATATAGCCTTTAAAAATTGTGAATTGTGCTATGTTGTACACTTGAAACTTATATTGTGCATCAAGTAAATATTCCTCAATTTAAAGAAAGAAGATAGAAAGGTCTCAGTTAATTGCAGGCTCACTGATTGGTTCAGTAGCTCATGGTAGCCTTTCCTATCCTCATAATTATTAGAAATACTAGTGAGTAGGACTCAAGAATGAATTTCTCTTTCTATGATGTTATCATAGCTATCTTTCTCATGGTAGTAAGGAATTATTGTGTTTTTGTCATTTTTCTTTTCTTCCAGCTTGAGTATTCAAGGACAATAGTCATCTGACTTTGGTTTTTCAACATGCAGAACAGATCAGGATACTGCAGTTTTTGTTGTGTATTCTATAATAACCTGGAGCAGGTGAGAAGATCCTATTACTATGGTTATACTGCAAAGGACCTACTTGTAACTTTCCCTTCTTTTATACAAATTCATTTAACAGACCATATTGAGACTCTACTAATGAGGAGATGTGGCTTGTAGGGATATGGCTATGAACAAAATCGGTTTCTTTTATTCATGGAGCTTACAGTTTGATGCACTAAGACAGAAAATAAGTAATCACATAAATTTAGTACGTAGTGTGTCAGACTGTGATAAATGATATGAGGAAAATAAAATAGGGAAGAAGTGCAATTTTAGGTAGATTGGCCAGGTGAGGTTACAGAAGTGACATTTGAGCTGAGATTTGAATGAAATGTGGGGATCAGGCATTCTTATATCTTGGGGGGCAGAATTTCTAGGTTAGAGGAACAGGATAGCAAGGATAGAGACCCCGAGTCAGAAGGTTGGGATTACATCCTGATCATAATTTGAAAGTCTCTTAAGTTGATAATGCGTTTAACACACCTAACCTACTGAACATCACAACTTACCTAGCCTACCCTAAAAGTACTTGGAATACTTACATCAGCCGACAGTTGGGCAAAATCATTTAATGCAAAACCTATTTTATAATGATTGGGTAACATGTAATTTATTGAATACTGTACTAAAAGTGGAAAACAATGGTTGTATGGGTCATTTACCCTTCTGATAGGGAGACTGGTTTCCCTTTGCCTTTGAATCCTCTCCCCTGAGCACAGGTACAGACCACTTGCTTGTTTTTCTTCCCTTCATGCCCTTCCTGTTTATCTTTCTTACAGCCATGGTTGTGCAGGAGTCCTTTTATTCATTTCCGGTTAGTTTTCAGTGAGAATTGTTTCACATGTAGATGTATTTTTGATATGTTCATGGGGAGAAGTGAGCTCCATGTCCTCTAATATTCTGCATTGATTTGCGCTCCCCTTAAATGGTTTTCAGATGCGTGTTTTAGAATTGCTTTATATAAAGGGTATATCAATTTATACTTTTACCAGGAGTATGATGAATCTATATTGTGATGTTCTCACTACTAATGAGTATTACCCATTAGTATGTTTACCCATTAGAATATTTAAAAATATTCATTTTCTTTTTACTTCCTAGCATATATCCAGTGACCATCACAGATCCTTGATCACACAGAAAAGACAACGGATGGGTGCTGCTAGTTTGATGGAACGTTTCTTGCAGGATGTACTGCAGCACCACTCATGTGATTATCAAGAAAGCAGGTAGAGTAACTGAGTGAAATAATACTAATATATTCATGTGTGCTAAGTTGCTTCAGTCATGTCCGACTCTGTTCAACCCTATGGACTGTAGCCCCACCAGCCTCCTCTGTCCGTGGGATTCTCCAGGCAAGAATACTGGAGTGGGTTGCCATGCCCTTCCTTTTTTTTTTTTTGCCATGCCCTTCTCTAGGGAATATTAGTACCTAGTTATATATTACAGTAGATATTTGTGTTAACATCCTAATATTTCCTAAAGTGAATCTTTGAATCAGGGAATATAAAGTGAACCTTTATCTAGTAACTTATCTTTGCAGTTGTTTAAAAAGTTTTCCTAAGTTAAGTGAAAAAAAAATCTCACTCTAAAAGATAGGGACTACGTATGCTTTTTCTAAAGAAAAGTCAGGCCAGTAAATAATTGTGTATCATCAAGAATGTCGCAGAGTTAAGCAGGGTAAAAAGGTGGGAACAAACATAACTTTAACATGATTAGTAACCAAAAGCTGGTGATAGTGGCCAAGTAAGGACAGTCAAGGTAAAAATTAATCCCACATTAATGGAACTATTTGCTAACTCTATGCTACTCTGTAAAATAGAATCGATTATTTTTATAATTTGTCAGTATCTTGACAGCTTACTCTTTTACTAGTATATATTGATTGTTTTAGTAAAAAGAAATATTTTGATAACATTTTAAAAAGTTAATGTCCTGTGTTGAAGAACTTTGGTAGAAAATCAGATTATGTACTGATTGCTGCTACACTGTATAAGATAAAGCAACATAGATCATTAGCACACCTGTACAGTATTAGTTGACTTTAATCCTAGCATCTGGATAAAGGATAAACTTTTTGAGCACTTTGCAAGTCACCAACCTAAAACTTAGCAAATAAGGAAAAAGTTATGATAGGGATAAGTTAGGAAAAAAATATTTGTTTTCTTAGCTGGTGGAAAGATGGAATTAACCTATCTTGAGGTCAGTATAAATTACCAGTTTATAGTGAATATAAACAATGCTTCAACAAATATATTTGTCATGCAACTCTTTCTGTGGAGTAGATTTCTAGACTGTGAACTCAGTTTATGGACATTAAAATACTTTTAAACTTTGCATTTTAGAATAATTTCAGACTTACAAAAATTTAGTTGCAAAACTGGTACAAGGAATTCTTCTTGTATAACATTCACCTAGCTTCCCCAAATGTTAAATCTAAAATAACCGCAGTGGACTTCCCTAGTGATAGTCGATAAGAATCTGTCTGCCAGTGCAAGGGTCACGGGTTTGATCCTTGGTCTTGGAAGATTCTGCATGCCACGGAGCAGCTAATCCTGTGTGCCACAACTAGAGCTCATGAACCTCAACTCCTGAAGCCCGCGGGTCTAGAGTCTGTGCTCAACCACAAGAGAAGCCAGCGCAGTGAGAAGCCCATGCCCCTCAAGGAGGAGCAGCCCTGTTCCCCGAAACTAGAGAAAGGCTGCATGCTAGCAAGGAAGACCCAGTGCAGCCAAAAATAAATAAGAAAAATAAAATAACCGCAGTACAGTGATTAAATTCGTGAAATCACCATGATACCATACTCTTTATAGAACTGATTCAGATTTTGCCAGTTGTGTTTACTAATGTCCTTTTTTGGGACCAGCATTCCATCCAGGACCACTCAGTACATTGAATTGTCACATTTCTGTACTTTCCCATAATCTTGAGTAGCTCCTTAGTCTGTCTCTGCTTTTAAGACCTTGACACTTTTTAGAAGAGTACTGACCAGTTATTTTGTAGGAAGTTTTCTAAATTTGGGTATGCTTGATGTCTTTGTATTTTGTTGATGATATCCTTTGTTGTGCAAAAGCTTTAAAGTTTAAGTCCTGTTTGTTAATTTTTGCTTTTGTTTCCATTGCTCTATGAGATGGATCCAAAAACATATTGCTGTGATTTATGTCAGTGTTTTGCCTATGTTTTCCTCTAAGAGTTTTATAGTATCTGGTCTTACATTTAGGGTTTTAATCCATTTTGAGTATATTTTTGTGTATGGCGTTAAGAGAAAGTTTTAATTTCATTCTTTTTCATGTAGCTAGCTATTCAGTTTTCCAAGCATCACTTATTAAAGAGACTGTCTTTTCTCCATTGTATAATCTTGCCTCCTTTGTCATAGATTTGGGCTTCCCTGGTGGCTCAGATGGTAAAGAATCTGCCTGCAATGCAGAAGACCCAGGTTTGATCCCTGGGTTGGAAAGATCTCCTGGAGAAGGGAATGGCAACCCACTCCAGTGTTCTTGGCTGGAGAATTTCGTGGACAGAGGAACCTGGCAGGCTACAGTCCATGGGGTCCCAAAGAGGCAGACACAACTGAGTGCCTTCCACTTTTCATAGATTGAGCATAAGTGTGTAGGTTTATTTCTGAACACTGTTCTGTTTCATTGATCTATGTATCTATTTTTGTGCCAGTACCATACTGTTTAGATTACTGTAGCCTGAAGTTAGAAAGCATGATTCCTTTAACTCTGTTCTTCTTTCTCAAGATTGTTTTGGCTCTTGAGGGTCTTTTGTGTTTCCATACAACTTTGAAAATTATTTGTTCTACTTCTGTGAAGAAAACCTTTGGTGTTTAGATAGGGATTGCAGTGACTCTGTACATTGCCTTGGGTAGTATGTTCATTTTAACAGCATTGATTCTTCCAGGAACACAGTGTTATCTTTCCATCTGTTTGTATCTCTGTCAGTTTCTTTCATCAGTGTTTTACAGTTTTCTGAGTACAGATCTTTTGCTTTCTTAGGTAGGTGTATTCCTAGGTATTTCATTCTTTTTTAATGTGGTGGTAGATGGGATTGTTACTGTAATCTCTCTGATAGTTTATTGTTAGTGTATGCAGTAGACTTCTGTATATTAATTTTGTATCCTGCAACCTTATCAATTCATTGATGAGTGCTAATTTTTTTTTTTGGTGGTATCTTTAAGGTTTTCTCTGTATAGTATCATGTCATCTGCAAGCAATGACAGTTTTACTTCTTCCTTTCCATTTTGGATTCCTTTTGTTTCTTTTTCTTCTCTAGTTTCTGTGACTAAGACTTCTAAAACTGTTCAATAAAAATGGTGAGAGTGGGCATCCTTGTCTTGTTCATCCTTGTCTTGTCTTAGAGGAAATGCTTTAGACTTTTCACTGTTGACTATGATGTTAGCTGTGGATTTGTCACATACAGCCTATTTTGTTGAGATAGGTTCCCTTTATGCCTACTTGCTGGAGAGTTTTTTTGAAATCATAAATAAATGTTGAATTTTGTCAAGAGTTTTTTCTGCATCTATTGAGATGATCATATGGTTTTTATTCTTCAGTTTGTTAATGTGGTATACCACAGTGATTGATTTTGCAGATATTGAAAAATCCTTACATCCTTGGGGTAAATCCCACTTGTTTATGGTGTATGATCCACTTAATGAATTGTTGGATTTGATTTGCTAATATTTTGTTGAGCATTTTTGTGTCTATGTATCAATGCATAAGTGAAACTGACCTGTAATTTTTTTTTGTGTGTGTGATATCTTTGTTTGGTATAGCATCAGGGTGATGCTGGTTTCATAGAATCCTTTGGGATTTCCAACTTGTTTGATTTTATGATTCTACCTTCCTTTCTGTCCTTAGCCAAATGTTACAAAATTAATTTATTTTGAAACTCTTTGTTCTAGGAATCTGGCCCAGGATAGAAAGAACATAGCATTTATTATGCATTGAAAAATCTTAAACAGATATTAAAATATTTTTATGGAATTTTTTCCCCTTATTTTTTAGATCAGTGCAAAATGAGAGACTTCATATGACTACTGTGTCACCTTCAGAAGTGGTTCCTAATGATGATTTTAGTCCTGAAATAAAGACCGAGGATGCTGCTGGAGTCAGAGAAGAGATATCTACCAAGGCATCTGAACCTGTTGAAAAGTTTTATTCTAGGCCTCAGGGATATATACATAGTGTTTCAGATCGACCATCAGTTATTCAAAAACTGGAGAAAGGACAACAGCATCCCTTGGAGTTCATTCATAAAGTTGGGAGCAGTATGAAAGAGTTTAATCCAGTTGGTCTTGGTCACAGTACAAATAACAGACAAAGTGTAATCTGTTCATCAGCGATTTCTAATGCTCTTGTTAGTTGTTTACCTGAAAGTTCTCATGAAAGACCAGTTACAGCTGACACTCCTACTGGTTTATCACTTGGAGTCCATTTGGATTCAGTTAACAAATGTGACCCAAACAAAGTTGACAGATACCTTAAACAGCTAGACAAGGGCTCTAGAAACCCTATGCTACCATCCCATCCAGAAACTTCTTCAGTTCCATATCAGAAACCTGAGGAGTTAAACAGAAAATCGTTACGTATAAATTCAGATAAGTTGACCTTACAGGAAGATGTAAATTCTCAGACTGAAGCTTTGTCAACTGGCTTTAAAGTCCATGAATTTGCGGGTACTGAAAACTCTTTAAAATTGGAATCTCTTTCTAAATTTGCAGTAAGTCCAGTAGTCAACCTGAATAAAACTGACATGCCTTCTAATAAAGGAATCTTTGAAGATGACATTCTAAAGCACCATGAGAAATTCTTTCCTAATATGGATCATAACCAGGAAGGAAAGCATTTGGTTTTTAACAAGTCAGCCTTTTTGGAACAGAAGATCTCAGTGAGTTCTGAAATGAAGTCTGCTGGTGGCTCTCTTCAGTCAGCATCTGATCACTGTGAAGAGGCTGAGCCGGACCTTTGGAAGGGGGAGCAAACTGACCAAGAAGATAAGAACCGTGAATCAAGAGATTCTGAAATAAGTTTTCATGGCACTTCCTCTTTTTATTCACTGATGGAGGACCAATCCCAAGGGACTGCTGAGGAAATTAACCTTTCAAAGGAAGTACATACTGGTTTGCAATATAAGAATAATACATCTTATATTTCTGAAATAAGCTCTGATTGTGATGACTCCCTTCAGTTGACTACCAGCAGAACTCAAGTGGAAGATGGAAGTGTTCAGAAGGCAAGGCATATTAGGCTGGTTGATGAAAGCTATGAATCCAGTGATTCTGAGATGAATTTTGATTGTGATGCCTCACTTCAGTCAACTGATGACTTCCCCCAACAGCCTGAGAAAGAAGTAAACCTTCCTAAGGGGGCGCTCGTTGGCTTGGTTGATATGAGCTATGGATCTAGTAGCTCTGAGATAAGTGCTGATTCTGTTTTCTCGCTTCAGTCAATGCCTGGCCAATTCCCAGTGACCATCACAGAAAGAGAACTTCAGAAGGAGGTTCACATGAGCTTGGTTGATAAGGACTATGGATCGAGTTGTTCTGAAACAAGTTTTGATGGTGACATTTCTCTTCAGTCAGTCTTTGACCATCCTCACGCGGCTGTCAGTGAAGGGAACCTGGAGGATAGGCTTGTCTCTCTGAAAGACAGGAATTATAAACCCAGTAGTGCTAAAGCATGTCTTGACTGTGATGTCTCTCTTGAGACTGGGTCTGATGGACTTCAGGAGGATGTTGAAAATATCAATCTTCAGAAAGAAAAGAATGGCTTTGTGGATATGAATCGTGAATTTCATGGTCCTGAGATAAAGTTTCATCTGATGAAAACAGATCCTCAGTTAGTGCCTGCCCAATCTCAAGTAGCAGTTAAAGAGGTGAATGCTCAGGAAATAGCTATTGACCTGGAGAATAAGAGTGTTAAGTCTGGCATTTCTGATCTCAGTTTTGAATCTCACCCTATAGGTGCTTGTGGTGAAATAAATATGAAAGCATTAAACGTTGACACGGACGTTAAGAGCTATGGATGTTCCAGTTTTGAGTCCACTTTTGACTCTGATTCTTCTTTTATGTCAGTTTCTAAGAATCCTGAGCTGGATGTTGAAGAAATAAATAAGAAGCATGTTAACCTGGAAGATGAGAGCTTTGAATCAATTAGTTCTGAAATAACTTTTTATTCTGATAGTCCTCTTCACTCAGTAGTTGACCAATCTCAAGTAACTGTTTATGAGGAGGATCCTATTGATCTGGAAAATAAGAGTTGTGAATCTTATGTTTCTGAAATAACTTTTGATTCTGATGTGCCTCTTTATTCAGGGACTTATCAACCTGAAGTAGTGGTTAAAGAAACATTCATTCAGAAAGAAGCGTGTACACACTTAGGAGAGAAGGATGATGTGCCCGGCGGTTCTGAAATAAGTTTGACTTCTTATATCCCTTTTCACTCAGTGATCAACCAGCCAGAAGAAGCTATTAAAAACCTAAATCCTCAAAAAGAAGAGTGGGTACACTTAGAAAATAAGGAAAATGAATCTAGTGATTCTGAAGTTTTTGATTATGATATTTTTCGTTCAATGACTGGACATTCTGAAGAGCCAATTAAAGAAAGAACCCTTCAGAAAAGGGAGAATATACACTTAGAAAATAAGGATAAAATACCTATTGTTTCTGAAAACAGTTTGAAATCTGGTATTACTTTTCATTTACTGACTGGTCATCTTTCCATAGCTATTAAAGAAATAAACCAAAAAGAAGAACGTGTAAATTTAACAGATAAGAATAATGAGTTAAAAGTTTCTGAAGCAAGTTTGGATACTGAAAGCCTTCTTCAGTCAGTAACTCATAAACCGGAAGTGATTGTGAAAGAACTAGGGCTTCAAAAAGAAAAGCAAGCTAAGTTAAAAGGTCAAAGTGCTGAATATAGTGATTCTGAAATAAGTTTAGATTCTGATTATTCAATGACTGAACCTCAAATAACTGTTAAAGAAGTAAGTGTTCAGAAAGAAGAATATGTTGTTCTAGAGAACAAGAGTGGTAAATGTAATAGTTCTGAAATAATTTTGGACTCTGGTGTCCCTCTTCAGTCAATGAATGAAAAACCTCAAACAACTGTTTTGAAGGAGGACCATGTTGACCCAGAAGATGAAAGTACTGGACCCAGAGGCTTTGAAAAAAAATTGAATACTAGTAACTCTCTTCATTCAGTCATTGACCAACCTCAACTAGCCCTTTTTAAGGAAAAACATGTTCATTTGGAAGATACAAACAGTGAATCTAGTGATGGTAAAGTAGATTTTGATTCTGCTGACCCTCTTCAGCCATTGACCGAACAATTTCAGGAAGTGGCTGAAGAAACAAATGTGCAGAAAGAAGAGGATATGAGCCTGAAGAATAAAGTTGACGAACCTAATGATTATAAATTAATACATAATTCTGATGTTTCTCTTCCATCTGTGTCCAGTCAACCTAAAGTGGCTGTTAAACGAATAAACCTCAAGAATGAAAATCATGTGTACTTGAAAGATAAGAACAGGCAAGATAGTGGTTTTGCAAAGAGTTTGAATTCTGATCTCATGGATCAGTCAGTAGTTGATCATCCTCAGATAACTATTTTGGAGCAAAAGCATACTGAACTAGAAGATAAGCACAATCAATCTTCTGGTTCTGAAGTAAGTTTTAATTCTGATGACCCCCTTCAATCAGTGACCAACCGGCTTAGACAAACTGTTAAGGAAATAAGCCCTTGGAGGGATGAAGTTGACGTAGTTGACGTGGAAGATAAGAGAGATGAACCTAAGCATTTTGAGATTGTATCTGACTCTGATTCCCGTTTTCAGTCAGTGGCTGGCCAAACTGAAGTTGTTAAGAAGGTAAATCTTCTGAAGGAGCATGTTGACTTGGAAGATAAGGTCGTCAAACCTAGTGATTCAAAAATAAAGTTTGTTTCTGATGAACCTCTTCAATCTGCGGTTAATGAAGTTCAAGAGGCTGTTACAGAAATGAATCTTCTGAGGGAGGGACCTGTTTGTCTGAGTGCTAAGAGCTATGAACCTATTGATTCTGAAATCATTTTTGTTTCAAATACCCCTCTCCAATCAGTGGTTGAGCCACACCACGATTTGGAAGAGCAGCAAGCCAATTTGGAAGATAAAAGCAATGACCCTTGTGGTCCTAAGATAAATTTTGTTTCTGAATATCCTCTTCAGTCAGTGACTGGCCAGCATCAAAAAAAAGCTGCTAAAGAAGTAGGTCTTTGGGAGGAAGACCATATTTACCTGGAAGATAAGAGATACAAACTAGGTGATTTTGAAGTAAGTTATGATTCTAATGTTGACTTTGTAGCTGGTCATTCTACTGTGGTTGTCAAAGAAATAAACTTGCAAGAGGAGGATCAGAATGACCTAGAAAATAAGAACTGTGAACTTAGTGTTTCTGAAATAAAATGTGATTCTGGTGTTCATCTTCAGTTAGGAGTTGACCAACCTCAAGTGGTTTGCAAAGAAATAAATCTTCAGATGGAAAAGCATCTGGGCATGGAAGAAGAGGTTAGTGAACCTAGGGATTCTGAAATAATGTGTGATTCTGATGTTCCTCTGCAAATAGTGATAAACGAACTTGAAGAGTCAGACAGAGAAACAGATAAGATGCTGTTTGTGGACCTGACAGCAAGTGATAATGACTGTGAAATGATTTCAGATTCTGATGTCCCTTTTCAGCCAGCGATTGATTCACCTCAAAGGACTGTCAAAGAAATCAGCTGTATAAATGCAGAAAGTTTTGACCTAGATGAGAACTGTGACTCTTGTGATTCTGAACTAAGATATGTTTGTGAGGCCTCTCCTCAGTCAGTGACAAACCATTCCAAAAAGGTCTTCAAAGTAGTAAAGCAAAAGCAAGACTATATTATTCTGGAAGAGACAAGCTATGAACCTTCTGTTTCTGAACTGAGTTTTCAAATTGATTCCTCTCATCAGTCCATGACTTACCAGTCACAAGAATCTGAAAAGAAAAAGGCAAAATATAGTGACCCCAAAGATAAGAGCTGTCAATCTAGTGGTCCTAAAAGAAATTTTGAGTGGGAGGAGACTTCTCAGCCAGTAACTCAGCAGCAGGAGCAGGTTGACAAAGGAGTCAACCCATGGAAAGACGTAGAAAATATTGGCCTAAAAGATAAGAACTGTGAATCTGGTGTTTCCGCAATGGATTTCAATGCATCTCCTGGATTGGTGATCCATCAAATGCCTGATCAAGAAAACCTTTTGAAGTTAAAACATACTGATCTAGGAAGTATGATCTGTGAACCTTGTGGTTCTGGGGTGAATTTTCAATGTGATCCTTCTCTCCAGTCTGGCAGTGACCGGCCTCAAGAAGCTATTAATAAGATCAGCCTATTTAAGAAGATTTCTTTTGACCTGAGAGAAACAAACCATAATAATTCCCATTCAGACTCTGTTCCCATGGTTGATTCTATAAGGAATTTGGAAAAAGCAAAGGAGGTCATAGAAGATGATCTTCATGAACTACTTCCTGAAGACTTGCCTCCCGTCCCTCCTTCATTTGCGGGGAAAACGTGGTCTCAGATAATGAAAGAAGATGATGTGCAAATGAGTGCTCTTGTGAAGGAATTTAAGGAAGGTCATTTGTACTGTTACTTTGTTAGCGACTCTGAGATGAGAAAAATTAAAAAAAATTTTTTGAATGAAGAAAAAAAGATGGCCTGTACTGACCTCAATCAGGACACCACATCAATTCAAGTTCTCTCAGATTGTGATGGTAATGTGGGTGGTATTTCAGATATTGATGACTTTTCAGTGGCTTTCGATAAACCCAATCATTATCCTTCAACAGAGAGGAATCATGAGCAAACACGGCGAGAGGCCTCTCAAGGCCAGGCTATGAAAGTGAGCCATGGAACTCAAACCAGTCTCACAAGTCACCCAGGGACGAAAAGAAGAATCAGTGGGCAAGAGAAAGACTCTCCAGTAAGGAAGCGTCTGCTTTTACAAGACGACAGGAAGACAAGAGAGAAAGTTAAAGAAAACGAATTTCCCGAATCAGGTATTAGTGTTTTGAAGCCTTTGCAAGCAAATACCTTAATTTATATTCTTTCTTCAAATATTAAGTTGAAGAAAGGTGAATCCAACAGCTTCTCTAAAAGGAAGCACTGTAGTAGAAATAATTGGAATATTAACATACAGTACAAATTTAACCAGAGTTCCTTTAATTGTTACAACCCATTGAATAAGCAGATTGTAATTGATCCTTCTCTGAACATAGAAGTACCAGGGTCTGACAGGAATAATTGTGTTGAAATGCATGTTAGCCACTTAAATTCTAATGCAGAAGATAATGATCCTTATGTACAAAGCTCTGCTTCAGTACCTTTTGTGACAGTGTCAGTAGGACATGAACTAAAGTCACAGGAGGCCAGTGAATCTTCGGTGTTTCCAGAAAAATCCAGGATTTTCAGTTCTAGTGAAATTTCAAAAGAAAGTAATTTCCAGTCAACTTTTTCAAGTCGTGATGTTGCCAAAACTTCATCGAAATCATTTAGAAAAAAGTTTTTGAAAAGTAAAAGCAAAAATCAGAGAAGGAAGGTAACAGCTAATAATAAGCCAGATTTTCCCAAAAAAGGTTGTAGATCAGTTATTCCCCAGCAAAATAACAGAATTGCTTCAGAAAAACGGTCGATTTGGATTCAGAGCAAACTAAGTGATATAATTAAAAAGTATATTCCAAAATACTCTGTTTTTTTGCGTCACAAATATCAGTGCAGGAGCACTTTTGTTAGGATGCATGTTAAGAAGAAAAAACCTGATGTTAGTAGGTTAAAGAAGGCGAAGAAACCAGCTAATATGTTGTCAAACTCCTCAGTTCTGTCAGCAGGAGCTGAAGAGCAGTCACGAGCTATAGCAAGCTCTTCTCCTAAGCAACCTGTGCAGACATCTTCCAGTGTTGCACGAAGTAAGAAGAATGGTAATAAAAAACACCCTAGAAGACAACAGAGAAAGCCTTATAGACCTATTAGGACATATCATTTGAGAAGTTTGTTTTCTGGTGTACCATATTCAGATAGAATAAAGACTCGATTCTCTAACAAATTATGAAGTAATGAAGTAAACTAGAGGTATTTCTATTAAGGGCTGGTTGAAGATTCAGTGCTTCAGTTGAAAATATATTTGGTAAGAGTGTACCACCTAGTGTACATAGCTTTCCTAACTTGGTGAAAAAAATGAACCTTCAACTATTTTGCTATAGCCTTATTTTTCAGGACTTTTAATATTCATTTAAAAATTTTTTTATTTTAATTGGAGACTAATTACTCTACAATATTGTAGTGGTTTTGCCACACATTCACATGAATCAGCCATGGGTGTACATGTGTTCCCCATCCTGACCCACCCTTCCCATCCCATCCCTCTGGGTCATCCCAGAGCACCAGCCCTGAGCACCCTGCCTCATGCATCGAACCTGGACTGGCAATCTGTTTCACATATGTTAATATACATGTTTCAGTGCTATTCTCTCAAGTCATTCCACCCTCGCCTTCTCCCACAGAGTCCAGCAGTCTGTTCTTTACATCTGTGTCTCTTTTGCTGTCTTGCATATAGGGTCATCATTACCATCTTTCTAAATTTCATATATATGTGTTAATATACTGTATTAGTGTTTTTCTTTCTGACTTACTTTGCTCTGTATAATATGCTCCAGTTTCATCCATCTCATTAGAACTGATTGAAATGCATTCTTTTTAATAGCTGAATAATATTCCATTGTGTATATGTACCACAGCTTTCTTCTCCATTCATCTGCCAGTGGACATCTAGGTTGCTTCCATGTCCTGGCTGTTGTAAACAGTGCTGCGATGAACATTGGGGTACATGTGTCTCTTTCAATTCTGGTTTCCTTGGTGTGTATGCCCAGCAGTGGGATTGCTGGGTCGTATGGCAGTTCTATTTCCAGCTTTTTAAGGAATCTCCACAGTGTTCGCCATAGTGGCTGCACTAGTTTTCAATCCCACCAACATTTAATATTCATTTAAAGTTAGTGTTAGGTTTTTTTTTTTAATTTAAGAATGCCCTATGTCCCTTTGCTGTGGAAGAGCTTCATCTTAATTTATATTACATAATTTAGCACAATATATATACCATTTTATACCTTCAATCATGTCCCATTTATTTTTTATGATTGTGTCTCATGTCAGCAACTTATAATGTTGCAAGAATGAATATGGCAAACACAAAATGCTATCTTATATTTTACTTTTAAAAAATTGGAACAGATGAATATGTAGTTATTTTCTGTGTGTTTCAAAGTAGAGTTGTCAATATCATATTCTAACTGGGTAATTAAAAAGAAGAAGTTCTAATAGATTATCTCAGCTTTTGAGTGGGATTAACCTAAATAATCACACATAAAATACAATTTATCTTTCTTTAAAAAACGTTACAGAGAATGAGATTTCATTAACTTTGATCCAGTTTTAAAAAAACTGCCTGGTGATTTAAGTACATAACAGACTCCTCCTGTTCCATGTAAACTGTATCTGCAGGCCTTCAGCTTTCTTCATTTAGACACATCCGTATTGTATGTATACGATCTCTGTAGGTCTTTCTTTAGCGTTACTAGATCTTAAGGGGAAAATGATCTTGCTACTCTGATGATGCTTTTCTACCAGTTCCCTGGTGGCTCAGATGATAAAGAATCTGCCTGCAAAGCAGGAGACCCAGGCTCGGTCCCTGGGTGGGAAGGGTTCCCTGGAGAAGGAAATGGCAGCCCACTCCAGTACTCTTTCCTGGAGAATTCCATGGACAGAGAAGCCTGGCAGGCTGTAGTCCATGGGTTCGCAAGAGTTGAACACAACTTAGCAACTAAACCACTACCACCAATAAAACTGATAACCTAAGTGGAGTCCCGTTTTGCAAGTGAAAAGCTGTATTTGTACATTGGTTTGGCCTGCCTTCAACTTGCTAACTGATTTTAGTAGTTCAGATGAAAGATGTCAAGATATGCAGTTTAGGTCTGACATACTCAAAAAATCTTTAGGTCTTTTATTCAGGGACACTGTTTGTGCTGGTACAGATTCATTCATTATCCTACTAAGTCAAGGAAACTGGATCCTTTTCTGTCATTGATGCTAAAAGGGAAACATGAATTTCAGCTTCTATATTGTATAAGCCATATTTAACTGAAACTTGATCAGTGTACCATGATTTCAGAAGTAAAAATGTGTTACTTCAGAATTAAGTACAGTGTAACAGTTAGTTTCTAAATGTAGCTTTATTTCAGTTAGTTTCTAAATGTAGCTTTATTTCAGGGGCCATTATTTAGCCTGTGGGTATGTTATGGTGGTACGTTGTATTGTATTAATAATTTCTTTCAGTTCTGTTCAGTTGCTCAGTCCTGTCTGACTCTTGGTGACCCCATGGACTGTAACACGCCAGGCTGTCCTGTCCATCACCAACCCCCGGAGCTTACTCAAACTCATGTCCATCGAGTCGGTGATGCCATTCAGCAATCTCATCCTCTGTCGTCTCCTCTTCTCGCCTTCAGTCTTTCCCGGTATCAGAGTCTTTTCCAATGAGTCAGTTCTTCCCATCTGGTGGCCAAAGTATTGGAGCTTCAGCTTTAACATCAGCCCTTCCAATGGATATTCAGGACTGATTTTCTTTAGGATTAATTGGTTGGATCTCCTTGCTGTCCAAGGGACTCATGAGAGTCTTCTCCAACACCACAGTTGAAAAGCATCAATTCTTCGGTGCTCAGCTTTCTTTATAGTCCAACTCTCACATTCATACATGAGCACTGGAAAAACCATAGCTTTGACTAGACAGACCTTTGTTGGCAAAGTAACGTCTCTGCTTTTTAATATGCTATCTAGGTTGGTCATAACTTTTTTCCAAGGAGCAAGTGTCTTTTAATTTCATGGCTGCAGTCACCATCTGCAGTGATTTTGCAGCCCCCCCAAAATAAAGTCAGTCACTATTTCCACTGTTTCCCAAACTATTTGGCATGAAGTGATGGGACCAGATGCCAAGATCTTAGTTTTCTGAATATTGAGCTTTAAGCCAACTTTTTCACTCTCCTCTTTCACTTTCATCAAGAGGCTCTTTAGTTCTTCTTCACTTTCTGCCATAAGGGTGGTGTCATCTGCATATCTGAGGTTACTGGTATTTCTTCCAGCAGTCTTAATTCCAGCGCGTGCTTCATCCAGCCCGGCATTTTGCATGATGTACTCTGCATATTAGTTAAATGAGCAGGGTGACAATATACAGCCTTGATATATTCTTTTCCCAATTTGGAACCAGTCTGTTGTTCTATGTCCAGTTCTAACTGTTGCTTCTAGACCAACATACTGATTTCTCAGCGGGCAGGTCAGGTGGTCTGGTATTCCTATCTCTTTCAGAAATTTCCACAGTTTGCAGTGATCCACACAGTCCAAGGCTTTGGCATAGTCAATAAATCAGAAGTAGATGTTTTTCTGGAACTCTCTTGCTTTTTCTGTGATCCAACAGAGGTTGCCAATTTGATCTCTGGTTCCTCTGCCTTTTCTAAATCCAGCTTGAACATCTGGAAGTTCACGATTCACATGCTGTTGAAACCTGGCTTGGAGAATTTTGAGCATTACTTTGCTAGCGTGTGAGATGAGTGCAGTTGTGTGGTAGTTTGAACATTCTAGCATTGGCTTTCTTTGGGATTGGAATGAAAACTGACATTTTCCAGTCCTGTGGCCACTGCTGAGTTTTCCAAATAATTTCTTTACTTCTAAATTTAAAACAGTAATTAGGTTTAAAAATGGACAAATGTTTATATTTTTAGTTGCAGAGCAACTTCAACTTACCCTATATTCAAATACTTTAATTTCTTTCCTTAAAATATCACTCTCAGCTGCTAATTTGGAATAATCCTGCAATTTTAATTTAGAAAGAAAACTGTCCTACTGATTAGGAAGTAAATAAGCAATTAATTCATACAAATATTCCACTTGTGGTTATTGGTGTCTTTTTTCCCTATGAAGTAGACATGTAATTCCCTTGAGTACTGTTCATAGGCATTTTGCAAGCTTTTAGTGTCAGTTTAAAAGGAAGAGATCATCTGGAAAAAAATGTACCATGTAATGTGATGCATCATATCTACTGTGTTTACATCATGCAGAGAGGAAAGTTCTTATAATTCAGCTGATGAAAAACTTAAAGAAAATTTACTACTGTTTTCACATTGGAAACTCTTCTAAGTGCTTTTTTTTTAGAAAAAAAGGTTTATATCTAAAATTTAAAGTATAAAATAGTCCTGATGATTTTAAAAACCATTTTGAAATGTTTACTAAGTTCCTATAGTCATTGTTATTTTAGACAGGCTTGAAAACTTGAAATTGTAAATGTTATAATTTATAAATAAATAGTGAATAACTTTCAGAGTTTGGTAGGATACAAGAGTGCCTCTTTGTCAAAATTTGCCAAACTTTATTTGGGCTTACTTTACATATTAGATAAAAATTGGATTTGTGTGTGTGTGTGTGTGTGTGTGTGTGTGTGTGTGTGTGTATTCAAGTATGCATTAAATTCTTTTAATAGTAAAAAAATCAAATGATAGCCATAGTGAGTATTTTATTATTCTTGTCCTTGCTCAGTATCTTGCATAAATATTTATTATAATTATTCCAAATTGTGTAGTATGTAGACAATGTGTAAAGTGTGTTTTGGATTTGTGTGTTTAAATTTTTGTGTAACTCAGGCTCTGAGTGACAGTAATTTTGCTAAAGAGAAACTATATTTAAATATTCAAATGATTATATATTTCCTTGTAAAACTAATGGGAAGAGTAATGTATTTTTTATAATGCAATTTAAAGAGTAAATTTGTTTTCAAAGTTATCATGATAAAATTTATCAAATATTGAAATTTGCCTCTATTTTCTCTTCATGTTAGGAACTTTATGTGGGAATACTTAAGGAATGATAGAATAAGGAAAACAGAAGTTCATTTTATTAATTGTCATACAGATAATATAGGGAAATATAAATGTTGATGCTGGTGAGAAAATAGTTCAACCAAAGATATGTAGGTTATATTCGATGAAGTAGTTATTTCAAAGGATTAAAATTAAA